AGGTGACTGATAGAAGCCAATGTGAAAACTCTTCAGAGACGGATAACATCATCCCAGGCCTCCATTTATTCCTAAAAATAATTTTGTAAGTGCAAGGACAAGTATGTAATAACAAAATAGCCACTCAAAGAGATAATGTGGTATAAATTAAAACTAGTAGAAACAACAGATAAATTAATAAAAAGTAGAGATCCACAAGGGACCTGGATATTAAAGTTATTAAAAACTTTAAAATCACTGTGTTCATTATAAATAAGGAGATAAAAACTTACATTAATAATTACAACATAACTAATATATCTCTATTTGTTATCTCTGTTATATGTATGTCTGTGTATGTATCAAGCAGAAATCCTAGAACTAGAAAATAAAATAATCAAAATTAAGAATTCGATAAAGAGACAGTGAAGAGACAGCACAACACACTAGAAAGAGCTAAAGAGTGATTTAATAAACTGAAAGAAAGGAAGACAGAAAATGTCCAGAAACAAGATGGAGAGAAAAAACAATGGAAAATGTAGATAACATGGAAAGAGATATAGAAGAAACAGTGAGAGATGTAACATCGGTGTAACTGGAATTCCAGAAGCAGAAGAGAAATAAAAGGAACAGAAGCAATATTTGAAGATATTATGATTTAGGTCACTCCAAAACAGATAAGAACCATCAAGATAAAGTCAAGAAGTCCTATAAATGCCAAGTAGAATTTTAAAAATGTATAAAGTAATGCAAGAATAAAAGAGTGGTAAAGGAGTAAAGTAATAAAAAGTGTAGATTAAAACTGCTGAAAATTAAAGACAGGAGAAAATAAAATCAGTTAGAGAAAAATAGAGATAACTTTCAAAGGAATAATTAAAATATTTATAGGTAACTTTACAAACAGAAATAAGACCGGCCAGAAAAAAATAGAATATATTATTTAAAGTGTTGAAAGAACATAGCTGCTAATCTGGAATCTTATGCCTAGCAAAAATATTCGTTGAGAGTGATGGTAAAATAAAGTGACTTTCAGGCAAACAAAACAAGTAATTTATAACCCTCAGATCTGTATGAAAGGACATAATAAAAAATATTCCTCAAGTAACAAAAAACAACAATTTTATGTGGAAACTCAGAGATAGAGAAATGGATAGGTAACAATGAATAGGATAAATATGTGGGCAAATCTGAAGCAATGATTCTCTAACTTTAGTGTAAATTAGGCTGTGTAAAGGGCTGACCAGAAAACTAGGTGGGTCCCTAAGCCTTTGGGAGGATTTCTGATTCAGTATGACAGGCATGGGAATTCACAACTCTAACAAGTTCCCAGGTAATGCTAATGCTGGTGGTCTGGAGCACGCTCTTTGAGAACCACTGAGGAATGCTGATTGTGTAAAACAAGGTGGAGTTTAAAATTTATATTGAATTAAAATCCATGCATATATTGACAATTATTTTGTGGCAATGGTTGCCCTTCTGTTCTGTAGGAAAATAAAAGTGATCTTTTCAATAAATAGTTTCCATAAATGATGCCAAACCAATAAAAAATACTTGATCTCTTTCTCATATTGTGCAGTAAGTGCAATCCCAGATGGACTGCAAGTCTAAATGGGAAAGGTCAAAACAATAAAACTTTTAAAAGGTATGTCAGTGAATAACTGAGTAACTGTGGGATATTTTTAAAGAGGACCCAATGAAAGCATTATTCATGGGGAAAAAAAATTGAACTACATTAAAATTTAAAATTATGTTAATTAAGAGATACTATTAAAAGAGTGAAAAGACAAGCCAAAGACTGGGAGAAGATATTTGCAACACACACAACAAAGGGCTCATATTCAGAATCTACAAAGAACTCCTACAAGTCAATAATAAAACAATATACAACCTACCATAAACATGGACAAAATTACAAAAGGGTATACAAATAGCCTAAAACAATGTGAAAATTTAACCTCATTAGTAATCATGGAAATGCATACCAAGACCATAATGCAACACACCTGTTCAAAATCGGAATGGATAAAGTTAAAATTATAAACAATAAAAATAATTCATGAGAATGTGGCACAGTGAGAACCCTCATATACTGCTGGGTAGAAGGATGAAATGTTACAACCATGTGGGAAATTTATTTACTAAATTTGATGTGTATATGTGATGCACATCACAGGTGACCTAGCAATTTTCGTTCCTGGATGTGTCCATGTGTACCAAGAGATGTGTACCAGAACGTTCATACATCATGAGTCATAACAGCCCCAAATTGAAAAACAACCTAAATTTTTATCAGCAGTAGAATGGAAAAATATATTGTAGTATGTTTATAAAATGCAATGTCATGCATCACCACAGAATATGAATGAATTAACTACATGCAACGACATAGGTGAATCTCACAAATATAATGTTGAATGAAAGAGGCCAATCACAAAATTACATATGAATGATTATGTTAAAAACAGGAAGAATAAATTATGGTTAGTTTGTAAAATTGAAAAAAAAATGTTAAGGATTGCTTTTAAAATGAAGATAATGTGGCTTCTTTTTTGGAAAGAAGAGGCCAGTAGTCAGGAGCGGGTGGGAGAGGGGCTTTCTGGTCACTGGCAATGCTCGATTCCTTAACCTGGTTGGACAGTTACACAGGTGTCTGCTTGGTAATATATAATTGAGCTGTACATCTTGGTTTTGTGCCCCTTTCTGTATATACATTCTATTTAACAATAAATAGAATAAAATGTTTAAAAATATAAATTACTCTATCCATTTTAAATATAGCAGTAAACCAAACTGGCTTTTCTAGTTACTTGAAAACAACTGAAGTTGATTTAATTATTTTTCCAATAATGCTTTACTTAATCCTTTTGTTTAGTTAATTTATGCTCATATTTTAGTTCCTACATAACTTCACATTAATTGTCAGGGTAAATTAATATTAAATGAGAATCAAATGCTTTGATGTCATCTAGATAAACACCTTGTTTAATTTTAGGTGGCTTTGTATATTTATTTTGGTTTCAGAACCTATTTCAAATGTACAAGTAGAGAGAGAATAATAGTATAATCATTGGAGAAAGGACTTAATAGATTGTAAATATAATAGAAAAAAATTTTATATCTGCCTAACTGACCAAGAAACTCAGTGAATGATAGAGGCTATTTATACCATATATGGATATGTTAAAATAAACCTATTTGAAGCAATTCTTTTATTCATAAACAACAAACAATAAAAATGTTGTCACTAAATATTGGTCCCATCATACCATGGGATGACAGATTTAATTGAATTTTATAAATTCCTTTCAAAAATATAGTCTAAAGAACAAAATTAAGCAATTAGTTTTTCAGCAAGATGAAGGATCTGAGTATTAACCCCACTTACAAGCTAACAAGTTAGCCAGCTACAGTTTCAGGATGCTGGTAGAAGACACAAAACTCCTAGGTTAGAGATAAAGGATTTTATCACCCAGGCACAGCAAGCAGTATGAGCATCTGCCTTTCTTGCACTGGTCTCTGAGCATTAATTCCCACAGGGCAGGGCTAAGAGAAGAGGGGGATACTTTCACACACACTGGGTGGGGCATTACGGTAGAATAGCTGAGTTCAGGGAATTCAAATAAGCCTGCTCGCCCTTTGCTCAGGACAGAAATACTATGGCTTACGAGGCTGTAAATAAACCTACCCTTTTTCCAGATGGAGGTACTATCTCTATCTTCCAAGGATCTTCCAAGTCTGTTCCCTATACAAACTTCCTTGAAAATACATGCAGAAACACAAGATATATATGGAGAATTGTCTTTCAATATTGGTGATGACTAAAACCTCTTCATATAGTTATATGAGACAGAAATTTTCTTCAACTTCTAAAAGATTGCCCCAAAATGATTTTTTTCAAAATTTTTTGAACTGAGAACAAAATTATTTAACAGTTCACATTGCATTCAGGATGCTTGTGAGAGTCATAATTACATAAAGTCCTAGAAGGACCTTAAATTTATACAGTGCATATATATAACACACCTATATATACACATATACACACACATATCTATACAGTTTATTTTTTGCCTCTCCCACTTAAAATGTAAATTCCTTGAGAATAATGACTGTGTGCGTGTGTGTGTGTGTGTGTGTGTGTGTGTATGTATGAGTAATTTATTCTTTTATTCTGGGTCCTATAATACATTACTTTGCACTAATTTAATTAATAAAATGGTATAGTTCTGTTATACAACCTTCTTCTCTCTTTCCTTTTGTCAACACCGCTGCCATGAGAACAATAAAAATAGTGTGCCTGTAATTTGAGGGTTCTAATAGTCTTCAAAGCATGACAAAAGTTTCTGATGTTCAACACCACCTCCTATCAGTAGAATCCAGAACAATGCCCCACACCTAGTGGAGCTCAATAAGTATTTGTTGTATTGAGTTAACTTGAACTCAGGATTCCATTCTACAGTTTGTAAGCCAAAAGTTGTTCTTAGTGACATGCTCAGTAATACATGCTGTGTTTTGAAACTAGAAAACATTCCTTTCCTCAAATCCATAGACAGTCATCTTAAGCTCAAAGACTCCTGCTCCTTTATGACGAGTCTCGTATACAGATGCATACAATTGAGGGAAAAACATCCTATGTGTCTCCAGAAATATTTCCTTTATTATGAGATGAGCAGTGAGTTAAGAAGTGCCTATTTTTCTTCCTTTGCGAATTGCATTATTATTCTTATTTGCCCCAGTGCTCATTTTCATCCTCTTCAGCAGGAATTTAGCAGGAAGAGTTTATGGTTGAAAAACTATTCATGTAAGTTCCTCCGGAGGCTAAATCATCAACACATGCCTTAGAATCACTCTGGTCTTCTTTTCTAAATCAAACATCTCAGGCAACAACAAATGCGGCAAGAACAAAATGTTTCCGTACTCCTTCCACATCGGAATTACCTCCTACGGGAACTAGAAAATGCGTGTCAGTGTGAACTACCGTCTACCACAGCTACTCTCCCGGCCGCTCCGGGGTCTCGCACACAAAGGGTGAGCGAGGGGCGTGGGGAGGCTGGAAGGCTTCGCCTCCTCGGCTGGCCTGGATGCCCGCCCAGCAGCCTGCGGGGGAGTGAGGACAAGACGCACGCGAAACTTGGGACTCGGATATTTCTATGCCACCGAAACCGCCGTCCTACCCCAGGGAGGCAGGGAGATCGGAGCGGAGTGCGTGCGCGAGCCGAGCGAGTGCTTACGTCGCAGCGAGATCTGTGCTGGGATAATTAGAGAGGAGTTGGGCTGAGCCGAGTCCTCTTTTAGCAGCAGCAGCCGGAGCCGCAGCAGCAGCCGGAGCCGCAGCAGCAGCCCGGTGGGGCGCTCCCGGCTCGGGCCGCTCGGGAGCGAACGGGGACAGGCCAGCGCGGCGCAGCAGCCGCCCCACCGCGCCCACCGCCCCGGCGGCCCCGGCCGCACAAAGGCAGCGGCCGTCCGCGTGGCCTTCCCCATCCAGGCATCCAGGTCCCGCTCCCTCCCTCCTCTCCCGAAGGCGAAAATGGCAGGGCCGGGCGAGGACCTGGGACAGCGGTGGCCCTAGCTCTGCGGTCCCCGCCCCTCCTGCCGGGAGAGCCAGCGGGCTGCCGGCAGACTATGCGGCCGCGGCTGCTCCCCAGTGCGTCTTCGGCCCGCGTCCCCGCTGCCGCGCCTCTTCTCTGCTCCTTCCATCCCGCCCAGAGGAGTTGATGCTGCCGCCGCCGCCGCCGCCGCTGAAGCCGCGGCTGATGGATGCCAGGGAGTGCCGCATTGCCTAGCGTCCCCGCCTCCGGGTTTGCTGGTAGGAGCCGGCTGCTCTTTCTTCTTTCTTGCTTTGGGGTTTTATATAGAAAAGAAAAAGACATTTTTATTTTATTTTCCCCAACTCCCTTCCCTCCTCCCGTTTTTGAAACACACATCCCCAAAGAGATTCCCTCTCTCTCCCCACGGCAAGTGCGTTGAAATAAAGGGCTAGAAGAAGGCAGAAGTTGGGGGTGGGGTAGGGGGAGCCCACGCTGGTGCCAAGGCCACCAAAACCCCTGCCGGTGCCTTATGAGATCACGGAGTATTTCTCTAAGGGGAGGAGGGAAGGTGCGCTATCTGCAGAGTCTCCACCTAATTGGATCACAATCATCTTAAATAAAATCCCACAAATATGTCTTTTAAAAATAGCATCTTTGAATAAGTAGAGGGAGAAATAAGCTCCTCTCTCCTCCTCTTTCTCTCTCTTTTTCTTTCTGGCTAAGACGCTCTCTCCTCGCCCTGGAGCTCAGCGCTGAAGAGCCACCTTATTATTAATCAGAATTTCCATCGTGATCCCTGGCGGGCGCATCCTTCAGAAGCATCAGAAGCATCTTCAGACCGCAGAAGCATCACAGTGCTGGGGCTGAGATGTGCGTGGGGGTTGTTTTTGTTACATCTTGGAAGAGAAGGGAAGAGGACAGTACCAAGATCAGAACCACCAGTGGTAGGTGGAATTAGGGGTGTTGTGTTAGGAGAGAGAAAGGACAAGAAGAGGAGTGCAGAGCCCGCCAGAGGTCCACATCTCTTTACGGGAAAGGGAATAGGGAACCAAAGTGGAGCACCGTGTTTTCGCGGGTGGGGAAGAAGTTTATATCCCCCACAGTAAAGCTGTGGGAAATCAGGAGCAACAGGGTACTTGATTGGACACCAAGACAAATCATTTCCTGTAAGGGAGAGGAAGCAGGCAGCAGCCAGGTCTGGGGGCCAGAGTGTGGTGGTGGCAAGGGCCAGGTTTGTTGTGGAACAGTCAACAAGCGCTTCAGAAGGGAAGGCTCAGGAACAAGCAGAACAATGACTCATTTGCAAGCTGGTCTCTCTCCTGAGACCCTGGAGAAGGCTCGCCTGGAGCTCAATGAGAACCCAGATACACTGCACCAGGACATTCAGGAGGTCAGGGACATGGTCATCACCAGGCCAGACATTGGCTTCCTGCGCACAGATGATGCCTTCATCTTACGCTTCTTGCGGGCCAGGAAGTTTCATCACTTTGAGGCCTTCCGCCTCCTGGCACAGTACTTTGAGTACCGGCAGCAGAATCTGGACATGTTCAAAAGCTTCAAGGCCACTGACCCTGGCATCAAGCAGGCACTCAAGGATGGCTTCCCTGGGGGCCTGGCCAATCTGGACCACTATGGCAGGAAGATTCTAGTCCTTTTTGCAGCCAACTGGGATCAGAGCAGGTACGTCCTAAATCCAAACTTGTACTAGAGAGCCTTTTACTCTCCCATTTTCCAGAATTTACCCTGAGTAGTGTAATAATTTTGTAGCTTTGCTATTTTTGTTTATTTGGCTGAGACAAAAGACAAACTGGAACTGAGAAATGAGTTTTTGGTGGGTATCCTAGGATGGGGGGAGGGCCTTTATTTTTACTTTTAAACCTGTTACTTCACTAACACCCAGTTTCTGCAGAAGCTTTAAGTGTTTTCTGAACCGTATTATTGTGCTGAGATCTAAATCACTTAACTTCTAAATAAAGCTTCTAAATTTTTCACCTCCTGAATAACTTCCTTGGTCTAGAGAAACGAGTATGAGAATGGAGACAACTTTTCCTCCTAAAGAAATTCTTAAACTAGACTCTTCATCATCATCATCATCATCCTCCTCTCTATTTAGTAAACTGATGTTTTGTCTTTTAAGAATAGCCTGGTGTGCAACCAAGAACAGGTAGTCCTATTGCTTGCGAACTTTTCTGCTTCATGATGTGATGTGTAGATGAAGGAATAATATGATGTGTGTCACTTCGATGAAAGGAAGAGTTGTATCCTCTGTCGCTGAGCATGCCTGCCGACACTGAAAATAAAGACTGACTGGTGTGCGTGTTCTACACCTGTCACTAATCTAAAGAATATGTTTCCTGTCTGATGCGATTTTTCATCTTTCAGAAGGAAGTGGAAAATGTTCAGATACATCATTTGGTAGAGTTTCTGAGCTCACTTGCTATTTATTAGAGGAGAAATAATATTCTTACTTTCTCTGCATTGTTACAGACAAATGTGAACAATGACACTTCTATTTCCTTAATCAGAATTGTTTTCTCAGAGTGAAAGATATAAGAAATTATAAAAGGTTCTTTTGCAAATATAGTTTCAATTAAGTTCAAAGTTAAATATATTTCATAGGACTTAAAAATGCTACCAGAACTATGAATCATAAGGAGCTGGTTCTTAAAACATTGGTGTATTTTTAGTTCTGTGAATGGTGACTTTGAATGCATCTGGTTAGTTTATACCATCTCTGGAGCAATTGTAAAAGGCTTTTCTAGTCACTGGGAGATCTTTTAGAGCGTACAGATTTCTGAATAGGCTTCTCAGAGTCTTGGGATCTTAGAATGTAAATTAACCTTTTTAACTGTTTTCCCCCCTTTAATTGGTCACTTTTTCTCTATAATTCTAGGTTGAGAATCACTTGAATTTTTAAAGATAAATATAAAGACAAACTACTACCTGAAGAATCGTAAAGATAAGAGGCTCATAGAGTTAGCCATTGCAAGGGAATGGACTTTTGTTACTTACTTTGGTTAGTTATAGAGATCTTATTCCACTTTTTATCAGGTAGCTTAAAGCTTAAGGGACTATAAAATTCCATCCATTGACCACAATTTTTAAGAAGTGTTGTTTTAAATTAGAGAAGTATTAATATATTGTAGGATTGTGCAAGTCAATGACTGTGCATATCAAAACTGAAAAATTTTATTCAAGAAAGAAACTAACATTTTTTATGTCAGATTGGAACTTTGTTTATGGAGCTATATAGAAATGGGGTCGGTGGAAATTTTATATTTAAATATGGCTTGAAGTCTGTTAGAGATGTCATTATGGAGGCAGTTTGCATTCAGAGAGACATACATCTCTATTTTCAGATCTATTTTCATTTATTTCTGTAAGTGAACTAATATTCATACTGATTTATAAACCTAATTGGGATGAAAGTCATAGTTCTCATGTAAATGGGGAGGTGATTATTTTGGATTTACTAAAGAAACTGATTTTTAGTTGGCTGTCTCATGCTTTATATGAAAGTTAGGTTACTAAAATTTTGTCCATTAAAAGAAAATGAGAAGCTGTGTCCTATAGAATTACTCTGTCAGTACCTATAGCCTAATAATTGTGAATTCTATTTCTATGGTTGGATATGAACAGGTTTAATCTAGACGTTATAGTACATCAAGGTAAAATGGTACACAAGTGATTTAGAGCTCATCTAGTTGGGTTTCCTCTTCCTATATTTTTTTAATAAAAATCTTTCCCTTGTTCCCACTGGCTCCCCCACCACAAATCTACATATGTGAATGAAGGGACTAGTGGATAAACAGACCTGTCCTCTTGGCATCCTCTGTAAAACATTATCACTGGGATATGTGCTTAAGAACTGCCCCTGTCCAGAAACTGAAGAACAGCTGCCTTTCCGGCAGTGCCAGGGTGTTTCCCAACCCTTTTCAGCCTGAATCCCTTTCCTCTACCATGAAGCCTCAAGGTTTATCTGACTTGACTCCTGTAGGAGTCTCTACCACCTTCCCTACATGTTTACCTTATTGTTATTGCTGGTTAGGTGGAGATGCCACATGCCAGACTCGAGATGCCAGGTCGAGATTTGCTCCTCGACCCTCCTCTGTTCTGAGTCAGGTGTTCTCACCTCCCTTGCTCTGATCTTTCCAGTTTAAACCCCCTGGGTTTCTTGAGAAGATGACACATCTGAATGTAATTCTGACTACATTCCTTGAGTTGTTAAGTGGATCACGTGGCTTTCAACAACTTTTTGAAAAAGTAGCCTTGTTTTAAAGAAACAGTAGGTGGGAAGCGTAGATGATTACATAGGAGAATTCCAGAAATGAAGTACAGAAAATGCCTCCCTTTATTGGGAAACAGATAACTTTCCAAGGACAAAGGGAAAACCAGTATTTTAAGAATTTTTAAAAGTTTATAAAGACCCCTGAAAGAATTGATTTGTATAACAAAAAAGATTGTTATGTTTTTATATTTATAACAGCATCTGAACTAGAATAGATGCTCAATAAATATTTGAGTTTAATTGAGTTATGCATTTTAAAAAAACAATTCTGAATAGGATTTTATCTGATATATGCTTTCTCATATATCAAATTTGTAGGACAGTTTTCTGTGCTTCTCAGGACACTGAAGACAGTAAATGTTTGTGAGATAGTGACTATAAATAAAACAGTGTCTCTTTCTATTGCAATACAGTATAGGTTAGTTTCAGATGATTATAAAGCATTGGACTATTTCCCAAATAGGGAAGGCTAAGGTAAATTTATAATATTTACAAGATACTTACCTTCTAAAAAATCTAAAAAAATGAAATATTGAAATGTCAAAATAACTTTCAGTGTGGTCTCTGGTTCTTTTAGAAAACAATAGAACAGGCTCAGATGACTTGTTACACTGATTGGGCAGACCATGCCTTGGAAAAGATTTATATACCTTTATGTCCTTTCTTTCAGATTGTCTAACAAAATTTCCGAAAACAAAAGTAAACTGCACAAAATTAAAAACAATTTGATTGTTACACTGCATCATAAGGATGCAGTGATGCTCCTTGCATTACATACTGTATTTCCTTCCTAAATCATAGTGACCTGGTTAGGATTTAGAAGATACCTTCAAATTGTCCACATGATTTCATCAGCTGAGTGTGAGGATAATGTACCATGAAGCCAGAAGAGATAACACTACTTGAGAAAAGGAAGTTTGGAATGAAAATAGATGGCAGTCTAGGCCCTAGGGCTTACAAGCAGGTATCTGAGAAGTTGAAATCCACTGGGGCATAATTATTGGTAATATTCATGAGTGAAATTATATTACCCGAAACATCATGATGACATGAAGTGTGAGAGTTGGCCTGTAAGTTGTCAATTAGCCTGTAAGTCATATTTTACTTCTATAGACCACATTAGACTTATAAAGCAGTTTTCTATACTTTAGTTCAGCAAACAATTGTTTATCTGGAATCCAGTTAATAGCCATTAGAAAACAATTAAATACAAGTAGCATAAAAATGATTCTTAGTATAGTGGCAATTCAGAAAGCACTGACCATCTTGTATGGTCTCTGGCTTGTCTGAATGAGCATTGATTATCACTTACAGTAGTGAAGCTCTGGAAGGGGTTGAAAACTGGCTGATCAAACATTGCTATGATCCTCTAACTTATCCTGCAATTTGCCTAAAAAACTTACTGTCAGTTTTTTCCTATTGTGTGGCTTTTTCATGAAAAAGAAAATATTGTATAAATGGTCAATTATTTTCGACTTCAGTTTGAATTATGATCATACTCTCGTTTACTAAAATAATGTGGCCAGTCTTTCAAAATGAAAGGAGATTATGGTGATAACTTACAATTTATAAAATACCCATAGACTCATGCAGATGTACATTAATGCCAGCCATAAAGCTTTACTTGTCTCTGGAAGTGTATTAAAAAAATAAATAAAATAAAATAAAAATGATCAGGAATAGATTAAAATAGTCGAGGGCAGTTTACCAGATAATTTTGGAGAAACACTTGTACTCAGTCATTTTAATGACAAAAACCATTTTAAAAAAAAGAAGCTTAATTTTTTGACTTGATTTCTCAACAATTCTTGTCCCTAAATACTTCTCTACTTTTTGCTTTACAGTGTCATACCTAGTGGCATGGTCATGATTCCTTACCTTCAAAATCCTAGAGGCGTCGCTGTGCCGTGTTTTGGATGGATTTTGATTCAGGCAAAACTGTAAATGGCAGGGGTGGATTCCATGGGATCTCTGTCCCAACACAGCTTCCATTTGCTTCCTTACAGGGAGACTCTTTTAACAAATACTCCGGAGACTGCAACTTATTCCAAACTATACTCTTGGTACATACTATAGAAAATAGGGAGAAAAAAAGTTGCTCTGAGAAATGTTAGACAAATATTGTGAAGAACCTCTGAAAAAAATAGGACAGTCTCTAAAAACTGGGGCAATTATGCAGTAATTAGTAAAAGAATCCTGAAATAACAGCAAAAACCAGGAGTGCCAACCTTCAGTAGGACGTTGATTAGGTCTGGCCTGAGCCAAGCTATTTTCATGTTTCAAATGTGCAACTTTACACAAGGTTGAAAAGAAGCAAAGGATTTGCGGTTACTACAGTGTGCTGAAATAATGCCTGAAGAAAAGTGTTTAAAGATATTTTAAAACACGAGCC